GTTTCCTCTTAAATTCTTGTAAGGTGAGAAGAAGTCACATCTTCACTTTATAAAGCGTTCAAAAAAAAACACGTTTATCAATTCCTCGTCAATCTTTGCTGGGAATTCCACAAACGTCAATACACCATATTCTTCTTAAGGCTTATGAAGTTCGTGCAATAATTCGTGCCCAACAATAATCAACTTTTATGACAAACCTAGGTAATTTGGGAAGGAACACTGAAACTCACTCATTGTACTGTAAGTTTAATAAAATTATCTTGAAAACATTAAAATTTTCGAAACGGATTTTTGATTAAAATCCGAATGAATTGATTGATTATCATTGTCACTATATATTACAAGTAACTTTGATTTATACATTTTTATTACCACCTATCAGATATGGTTCTTGAGAAACTAATGATTCACCACAGCTTAAATATTAAAAATACTGTAAGATGACCGAAAGATCAATAAACGAGACAAGATTCTCAAAAATCATTCTGTATATGTGAAAAAAATACAATATTTAAGTATGAATGCACAAGCCATATTAATGATGATGTCGGTTGATGAGATTAAAAAATTGTGATTACTATTTTTATTTGGTAACTATGAAATAGAAATAAAATATCATACAATTCTTGTATTTTTTTTATTAAACACATACATAACAACTAATATTACAATAATTGATATTTTATTTAAATATTTTCATCAAAATTTTACAGTATGTAAAAATTTATATTATCCGAAACAATTTTAAACCTTTCAAATTATAAATATTTTTAAATATATATATATGCTTAATTACTTTTCATTTTATTTGATATAAACACATGCTCGAAAACATATATAAATGCTATATATTGAGATTTAAAAAACGCTATTTATATATATTTATATATTACCTATCATCACTAACATCAAATTCAAATATATTTATCGAGTATATAAATTACTTGCTAAAAATATGGTCCAAAAGATTTTGCATGTTGATTAGAACTGGAATTTTTAAAATTCTGGGTTTATTTGCTGCTTCATCTGTAAGATTAATATCAAACATTAACCGTCTGTGGCTACAATGCCGCAACAAACATGATCACATATTAAGAACCATTTGAAAAATCACTGAGCACTGAAATGGTATGTGGTATGCTTACTGCATGAAAAGCACTTAATAATAATGAATTAATTAATTGGCTTTTTGCATTATTTTGCGCGATGTGAAACCAGTGTATTTTTACAGACCTACATTATCAATAATTTTATGCTACATTTATAGTTCGACCAGTGTTGATGCATATTGACAGACAGAAAAAAAATCTATTTGAACCGTTTTTAGGAGATATACAAAATCAAATCAAAATTTCATAATCATTAGCAGAATGTAATAGGCAAATAATTAAAAAGGATAATTGATATATAATCCACAAAATAAAAAATAAATACTAAGTGGAAACTGGAAATTTATGCTGCATAGCTGGTAAATGTATATAATCATCATGTAATTACAAACTCGATAACATGATGAATACATTTTTTGACACATTGTTTTAAATTACATAAATTTATCACTAATATTGTTAATATCAACAATTTATGAGAATTAATCGTTGAGCATGTTTGCAGTGACATATTATTTTTACTCTGAGACAATAGAAATTTGAGAACACATAATATTATCACCTAATTCGAAAATTCCATAATACATCCACTGGGAGGAATGTTGGAAATAAATATTTACAATTTATGGCATAAACAGAACATACTTTCTAATATCATATGCTAATAATATAACTCTTAATATAATTAATTCTACGAGTCTAACATAATGGATATCTATTAATTTTGATTAAATGTAGTAAATCGATAGTATTATTAACAATCAATGTGGAAATGCACACATTTGAAAAAAAAAATCTATTAAGCCTTCAGATTATGTTAAATGCATTCAATATGAGTCGAAAATGAACAAATTCATTATTGCAGTATGGCTTGCCCAAAATGATTTACCTCAATTAATTATATATATATATATATATATATATATATTATATCTATAAAATATAAATTATCAATATCATACTTATGTATATTATGTTTGCATTTATAAGTTTAATTCAGATTAAAACATTTTGAACAAATCCAATCAATATGAAAACAATGAGCTGAGAAAAAAGTGATTTAAATACTGCAAATACATTTATAATAATATTTTCAGTTTGATCCGAAAACAATCATTACCTTTAGGACAGATTAAACATTTTTTCAAAATTTTACATCAGTGTTGCAAAAATTCATTTTCTTGTTGCATAATTTGAGCAATTACTATTAACAGTATATTTAACAGTAAACTTGCTTGTTTACTTTGCTTATGCTGTCTCAGCTATTAAATTGAACAAATGAAACTTCAGCAGTATAATATCCATATTTTGTCACATATAAAATTTTAATCCTTATATTTCAAAAAGTTATCAATTATGGAACTTAGTTGTGATTGTATATGGTGTTTATGATACAAAATAAGACATATTATACATAATTACTTCGTTATTATAATTTATTGTTCTAATTTGGCACACCTTTAGTAATTCTTAATTCATGAATGCATTTTCTTAAAATACAAATGATGGTGTGTTATATTGAGACCCTTGACATACACACATGTTTAAAGTGGAAGTTGGAAAAGCTTTCTTTTCGTAAACTTCCACAAAATGCTTGTATATGATTATCTGATATATGCATACATTTGTCAACCCATAGCATGCACAATGCTTTTAATGTGAGAATATATAAAATGCCTCTGCATAATGTCATGAAATAAATGCTGAAATATAATATTCTAACAAATGTTTTTGCATGAAAGTATATAGAGCCAAGCCTCAATAATTCGAACATTTAATAACAAATTCACATTAAATATAATTCAAAATAATATTTTTAATGGATTTTCTATATCTTCTAATATTTTATGATGTTATTTCAAACTATCATAAATCTTTCTCTTTGCTGTTCATATGAAATATAATCTATTGACAAATTGCTTTACAACACTGTAATATATGCAACAGCATTTTCATTATATCAATATCATCAATATAGGTGTTCAACTTATCGAGGCTTTAAGGGCATATGTGTTCGCACCAATATATTAATGTTTAAACATGAAATCACATATATTTAACACAACAAAAAGTATATGAAAATAATTGCATTATTTTGCTATTTGCGCTATACAATGTTTCCTCACATTTTAAAATATCAATGTTATCTCCAAATAGAATAGACAACTTAGTAAAAGATTACCACCACAATTCAAAAAATGTTCAATATATTGTTTAGCTTTTTTCGCATTCACGATTTTTATCATTGGCAAATTTTATAAATCACTATTTATGAGCTAATCTACATTTTATGTTGATCCTCTTGTTTATGCATAAATTGCATTATCGAATATTGCAAAACAATATATTCTCACTAACAAAATAAATAGTTGAGCAGTGCCATGATTCACTGTTAGAGGAGAATATCACTTCGCTATCATACTAAATTTGGACAGTGTTTCTGTTGCCCTTGGACCCTCAATATATAGGGATGATATTACAATCCCAAGCACAGAAAATGCAAATTCTAAATAGCGTATCTTTTGAATTGTATTGGTATTAACTTATAGAAATATATGAAATCTGAGTATTACTGAGAAACATTGATTTCACTAGTTTGTTGGTAATACTTCATACCTCATATGATCATATTACCCATGCCATAACTAGATGATTGATTACATTCAATTTACAAACAAAAGTCTCAATCAATAGTTTAGCATTTTGAAATTTTATTCCCTCTCACCTTATGCATTGAATAATATATATCAGATGGGCATGAAGCAGTGCCATCCTTTGGATTCTGATTGCGCCTGTGTAATTATAAATATGCTTGTTAATAAAATAGTTAAAAATTCTTGGCAAAACTATTTTTAAAATATTTTTGGTATAATTGTAAATCGATTTCATAAATTTATTGGATAAATTAAATGAATTAATCTATCTTATCTACAAATAATGAATGTTAAAAATGCAATATAATGATAGTTAAAAAACTTTAATACTATTTTAAAGCCTACACAAGCTGTTATATCCAATATGTTTTTACTACAATTGAGCATTTTACATAACTATATATAATTCTTAGTATATAGTAATTATACAATAATACTAACTTTAGTTTTCATAAGAGAAAATTGAAAATTCAGTGAAAATCTCTATTTTATTTTGCTTGAGATTACAAGCGCAATCTTTTTCTAAACTTCTTGAAAAAGTTTTTCGAAGTTATTTGCAAAAGCATTAAAAAATGATTTAAGAGTAAAATGGAATGTTTGCAACTCGCAAATACAGTTTGAAAGTAAAATATATTAGTAGTATTTTTTTAAGAGCGTGGTATATATTTTGGATAATTTACTACTGATTTCCATTTAGACTAATAACCAGCCAGTCAAAATACATTATAAAAAGGTTTGCGTTCATAGTATAAAATTCTTTAACTGTTTTAAATAAAAATTGATTAACAGGACTTTGCACTAATATCTATGTTCTTGACTGTTATAAATAACATTTCAACAATGAAAATCACTGTTAATTCAATTATTAAACAAGCCCTAAAAATAAACAAAATTAAAATTGTAGAAGTTAAATAAATTTAAACTTGAGATGGCCGGTGTGCTCTATGATTAATCGAAGAAAAATCATAAAGCAAAAATGTTAATACAATTATCTGTCTTGTTTATTTAGGACAGTAATAAAATAATTATGGCGTAATCACAATATAGCTGAATTTAATACATATTTGAATATTATATTAAAATACAAGAAAAACATAAAAAACATGAATAATGAAATATTTATAATAAAAAACGAATGGGATCTATTTTTAAAAAATCACGTAGAATGCATTGAATGTTTTGGTAACTACCATATAAATATCATTGAGTTCATAAAATTAGAAAATTTTATAAACACTAATTCATTTATTTAAATGTAAAGTTATTTAGGAATTGTCTAAAATTATTCTGAGATTTCATAGTACTTTTAAGTGGCACGGCAGAATCTACCTATTAAAAAAATCTATAAAAACGAATTATGTAGAAAAATCACGATTATACGATAGGTAACAACAACTCGCATACTAATATTTTGTATTCTAATTTTGAACACGATATTTTCTTTTACAACACTTTACTGAGCAAGAACTGACGAAAGACACAAAGAAACCTGGCGCGATTATTCCAACGACTTACCAATAAAAATAAAACGATAAAACTGTGGACTAATATTTGTTACCTATTATGTGACAAAAATGTTTTAGAAAAAAGTTAATCCTAATTGAAATTTTCGAAAAAATAACTAAGAATCCAATGAACACTTATGTTCTACAATGCGTCGAAAACTCTAAAACCGAGATAAAAACATTACTACTTCACTGCATTAAAAATAAATACTTTTAATTTTAATAAATTATAATAACATTAAAGAATATAATGCAGACAAGTGAATAATTTTTAATCTGTCGCACCTGGATAATTGTGTCTCATCGCCTAAATATAGTCGTCGATTATACTTCGTTCGTTCTCATCGCGTTTTCTTAAACATAGACGTCGATTCGGTATTATAGGTATGTTGTGGTATTTAATATCATTATGTTAACACTAACATTTATACGGGTATTATTTATAATACTACGTATATTACGATAGAAAACTTTACAACCGCTCGGTGACATATATCTTGCTGTCGTTACGCGCGTGTGTTCGTCGGACGGCGAACGATATCAGGATGGCCAGGGCGATCAGCGTCAATCCCAGGGCGTTCATCACGATGCCCTCCTCAGGCCAACTCGAGTACTCGGATCTGTGGAAATAAGCACATGAAATTGTTAAAATAAACTAACAACAAAATTGGCAATAACAAATACGTATCGCAGGTTGATGAGGGGAAAGAGTTATACATAGTAATTAATGATAATGGGATTGGAATAAAACCAACGTGAGACTTCATCTGTCTTATAGAAATACAATTATGAGAGTACACATTTTACCTAGAAAATCTGTTACAACTCGTATAAATTAGTTTAAAAAAAGAGTGCGCGTAAGGTTCACACGCGATTGAAGTAAAACTTATTTGCTACTGTACAAGATGGCATTTAAGTCAAAATAAATACATCATATAACCATTTTGAATAATGTTTATTAGTAATATGGTAACACTCATGATGCACACATTTACTAGTGTCAACCATTATACACATTTATACAATGATAAATTATAAATTATATATTTATAATAGCATTAAAAATATGTATAATATTTAAAAACAATAATGTAATTAATTACTTCATTAATTACTTGTCATACTTCAAATATGACATGATCGGTTTGTCATTGTAATTAGCATTTAGAAATGAACTGAGAGAAATGATGCTGATTAATAACTTCTATAATATTCGTTCACAAAGTGGATTATGTTAAACAACGCCCGAACAAATATTGTTTTCGCAACTTCACTCATCGTGTAATTGTGTTTGAAGAACTTCATGTAATTAAAATTAACATACATTCATTGACTAAATCTCATTCTTTGAACAGCTGTAATATCTGTCTTGCATAATTTTTTTTTTCTATTTTAATAACTTCAAAGATTTATAGAAACTACGAATAATATAGAAATAATTTCTAATCAAATAAGAATGAATTCTTCCGATTCATGCATTTTTCATTAAATCAAGATTTGTACTACGATGTAACTCATCGTCTAATTGTGTTTGAAGAACTTCATGTAATTAAAATTAACATACATTCATTGACTAAATCTCATTCTTTGAACAGCTGTAATATCTGTCTTGCATAAACTTTTTTTTCTATTTTAATAACTTCAAAGATTTATAGAAACTACGAATAATATAGAAATAATTTCTAATCAATAAGCTTACGTTTAGTACACGGCACGATTGTTTAATTTGTTTTATTATTTTCAAGGAACAGGGTAAAATATTCTTCTGATTCATGCATTTTTCATTAAATCAAGATTTGTACTACGATGTAACTTTAAAATGTTTATTTATCTATGCCGATTTCCTTGTTGATATCGGTATGCATACTACGTTGATGCCGGTACGCATGCAACGACAGATTTCTATTAACATACACGATGACCAATCACAATCGACCCGTATTGAAATGCTTTCATCGAGAGCGAATGACGTACAGGTCGGGCGTAGCGCAATGTCCGTTGCATTTGTACGGATTTACACCATAGTTGCGCCTAAAGAAGTTTTACTTCAAAAAATGATATCGTAATCTAGTTATGATTATCGTTAACGAGTTGCAGCTCAGCAGCTCAGTAGGATTAGTTAAAATATTAAGTAGAATTTACAATTTCTTTTCAAATAAAACTGTTACCATCATAATTCCAGATAATCAGAATTATGGTTATCAGAATTGGTTACTATAACCAAAGTTGCAAATAGTAGTATCAACTCTTACATGTAAATAGTGCTGTTGCACCACAATGCATTTTTCTATGTTAATATGATAAGCAATGTCAATATCAATAAACTGCATTCGATTACCATATAGATAACTGTGGTAGTAAAATTGCAGCTAATTTGTAAAATGATCGAAAATGAGAGTTGTTGGATGTAATTTAACGTGTTTTGGTACCATATGAGTACAGTGAAATTTTCGAAGCCTTAAGATTTTTAGCACACATGGTTTGTTTCTGAAATAATGATTTTCTTTTTTACAGATAGTTTCAATAATATTTTAATTGTATATCATTGTGTAATTTTGTATATCAAGTTTTACTATTATACATGTATTATAGTAGCGGAAATACGGACAAAATGACCTGGTGTTTTGGTTCTTTAATGATATTTATTTATTTATTGATATTATAATCAGTCTCAATCGTTTTTGCTCATCTTAGGTTAATGAATACGAGAAACACCGAAAAAAGTATTTATTAAGGAAAAATGCAACTAATTGCAAAAATCATTGTGTCCACATAGAACGGACAAAATAGCATATTAGAAGAGGGCATGCTGAGATTTTTCAGAAAGTCAGTTCACAAATAAATCATTTGGTACTCTTTAGGACATCAACACATAAATCATAAGCCCAAGAAGAAAAATTAATACACCATAACCAATCGTCGCCGGGTCCAGAATCTCAAAAAGAGATCTTGGGAATAAATGCAAGTCTCGTCTTGTTACCGGTGGATCCTTTATTCTGTTTTTAGAAGTAATTCGAGTAAAAGTTAAAAGCCAATAACCTTTGAAAAGCTTAATTTTTTTTCTTGGCTTCCAATAAACTACTGGAAAATTTTTGTCCGTAAGTGAACAAAAAAAGAATAATTAATCAAAGTTTCATAACACACCTGATAGTTTCAATAAAATTGATAAAACTTTCGAACTGTAAAAATGATGCTCAACATCCGACAGGTTTGTGATTTTAGCTTTCTTCATGTTGTACAGTCGAGGAGAAGTTAATAAATCCAACTAACTCATATATATTATTTTACCCGTAATTCCTCTACTATAACTCTTTAACATTGATGAGTATTTTATTATTGTTTGAACGTAAGAATGAATTTAACCAATGTTAGTTCATCAAATATCACGAGCAATTGCAGTTTCGCATTCGGACTATCAGACTAGCTTTTTATATTTTACTTTTGAAAACATACGTAAAACATAAAATAGATACATTTGAATGGGCAAAACTGCGCAAAAATATTACAATTCCAACTAGATTTTATTTCACGATATAATAAATTTTCAATCTCATACTGTATTGGTTTGCATATTTCACATGAATGTCTACTTTTTGAATGGCAAAGTCAGAAAATATGCTATACATGAAAAATATAGCAAACAAAAATATTTCGACCTCATTTTCAGCATCGCTTTACAAATCAGCATTAAAATTTCCCAAAATATAAGACCAGAGTGAAGTGCATATTGCAGCTACTTTTTCATGTGAGATAGGATTTATAACCAGGAATGCCATAATGCTTCGATATGCTTCACTATTTCTTTACAAAGCTTCAAGGCCGCATATGAATAATCTTAATCACTTACCCAAGAGTGTAGATAGCTTTCTCGGTGAGCCCGGTGAGACAGGTGGCGACTGCCAGCACGAATGTGACCAGGCCGAAGGACGCGTGAATTGGGACCATGGCTTCGCGGAACGACTGGGTGGCAGCATCGCAACACAATAGCAGTAAGAAACTGAAGAAACCCACCAGGAACTAAAAAGGAGAAGGAATGTTATATAAATAACTAAATAATATATCACAATATTTTGACGTAGCCTACGAATGAAATTCCTAAGTTTAATTCCTATTCCTAGGTTCCATTTCTATTTAGAATTTGTGTATAATATTGAATTATAAACAAACTGTTCTATAAATTGTTTATCCTTCGGTTCGGTTTATTTTTTCTACAAATCCTCAAAGATTTTTTTTTTGGTTTATTGTTCATAGCAAACTATACGCAGTACATTCAGCTATATATTATTGCAGGTATATATTATTTGACAGCGTGGGAAGGATCGCTATCCTACGATAGCACTTTCTTAGATATTATGTATTTTGATGTAGTAAATCATTGCAGATTCTTTTTTTTTGAGACGCTTTGGTGGTAAAGGCTTCAGCAGGTCACACGCTAATTCGTTTGGATGACGACTTAGACGTGCTTTGTATCTGGAGCAGTAATGATTAATTTCTTCTTCAATAGTTGGAATTCTGAGATCTTGATGTATTAACCAATTGGGGACATGTTTTGGAACGTTCACGATTCCTTTCAAAATTTTGTTTTGGAACCTCTGTAAAATAGTTATGTTTGATTTACTGGCCGCACCCCATAGTTGTAGACCGTAGGATAATATTGGTTTAATAACTGACTTGTATATTAAGAGTTTATTTTCTATTAAGACTTGTGATTTCCAGCCCATTAACCAATTAAGTTGCCTACGTGTTAGTTCGAGCTGTTGGCCGTTCTTTAGTATTTGTTAATATCAGGTTAGTCTCCTATCCAAATATATTCCTAGATATTTAACTACATTGGATACAGGAACCAATTCACCATTCAATCTAACAGGAGGGCTTGAACCTTGATTAAGACAACCATCATCATTTTACTACAACACATGGTTTTTCTCTGGAGAGGTTAAGTACTAAGAATTGACAGAACCTTTCCTGATTTTGATTATAGTTATGACAATGCTAATAAGTTATAAAAAAATGTTATAACTAGACTTTTATATATATACGTGAAATAAACATTTACATGTATATATAAAACATAAGTCGTTTTCCTTTTCAAAACCGATTATAAAACTAGGCGGTTGTATAAATATCGTTAATTTATTATTGGTTATTTTTACACCGCAGTAATCCAGAGCAAAACTTTTCAACAAAGATATATATATATATATATATATATATATATATATATATATATATATATATATATATATATATATATATATATATATATATATATATATATATATATAATAAATGTATTCTGAGTGGTTAGATATTAATTTAGAAATATGAACAAACAGCACTCTTGTTTTGCACTAATTTATTGAATAATATTTATTGTCATATTTCATATTTCTAAATTAATATATATATATATATATATATATATATATATACATGTATTTATTAAATCTTTATTAATAATATATTAATTTTTGTAATAGTTTTCTTTTATCGGAGTCTATGCAAAACTTTATAAAATCCAAAATGTTTAAAATGTTCAAAAATAAATAGTTAACTGGATGTTCAGGTGTTAAAATTTCAGCAACCTGTTACAAGAACGACTTAAAATATTAATTGTAAAAAATACATTATGTACTGGCAAAATAACTAATTTCAAATATTTAATATCGTAGTACGCTTCTGATGGCAATATACTGCCCACATAACTTTAGTTAGAGAATTTATTATTATATGTAGTCATATGATTTACATGTAGCATTTATGATTTGTTTAAAGCCCGTGTTGAAATAATGCAGTTGATTTGCATTATTATTCATTACTGTCATATACCTATTGTTATTGGTGTGTTATATTTATATCACATATTTTAAGTTTCACACACTGATAAAATTAAATAATTAAACACACCGCATAATTAAATAAATAAATTTATCAAAGATCGTTTTAGCTATAGCAATTAAATGAAATAAATAAACAAAAGGTAATTTATACCAAATGAAATTTGAATTATGCAAAGAATAATACATTATATAAAATTTTAGACTGTCAAACAATTAGATCGTTGTATGACAACGTATGTTATATATATATATATATATATATATATATATATATATATATATATATGTATATATATATATATATATATGTATATATATATATATATATATATAATCGTATATCCAATAATTGAAACTATTTTATTGAAGTAAAATGTTTTATTGTCAAACGTTTTGCGTCCTGATTTGACCCATCTTCAGAGCATTCAAATAATTCAAAGCAAAAACAAAAAACAAGAATAATATAATGCACCAATTACTATAACAAGTTATAAAGCATATAATGCTATTATTAGGATATTATATGCTTGAAAAAATTGTAACTTGAAATTAAAATTGGTTAAAATTACCAAGCATATAACATATTAATATAAATTTTATTTACTTTTCTCCCAGATAACGGATAAATTAACAAAATTATTGCTGATTAAAGTGTGGCACAACTGTACCTAGTCTCCTCTATATTTGTATTTTTGATCTAAAAATATGGCAGTTTATACTTTGATTCTCAGTATATTTGTTAGTAGTATCCCGAATTAATTACATATAATTATTAGCGTATTTATCATTGCATTTACGTAATACGTAGTAATTTAACTAAATGAATTTTTAAATTATTTGAATCTTGTAAATTAATGTAGCACCATACGTTGTCATACAACAATCTAATTGTTGTATTAAATATATATATATATATATATATATATATATATATATATATATATGAAGTATCAAATAAGGAGTTATATTTTACTTTTAGACGAAGTGCCAAGTCGTCAATATGCACGGATGCTGTGGGCATATAATAAGCACAAGTAATATTTACATATAAAACAGTTACTTTGTTATAATAACATTTGTAAATGCATATGAGTGTTTGTATATAAACGCATTATGGATTCGAGCACACACACACTACATATATAAGAAATTTTCCTGTCTGATGTTCTTGAAGTCGAAAATCTTATTAGTCTCAATAATCTGATATGTTAGGCAAATTTATACGTATGGATTTGCCGCAGTTTGAAGAAAACATCAGATTAAGATGATTAAAAAAACGATTATGTTTCGGAGTTAGGTCTACAAAATTGGATCATACCAAATAATAAGTTTGTTATGAACATTTAACAAAATGTATACAATTTTAACAATTTCGTATAAAGCGTTGACTTATTAATGAAAAAAATAGCACTTTCTAGAACGACAATAATTTTGGGCAAAAAGCCGTCCATTTTTTAACAGGTCGCTCCTGTTTTACATTCCAATATTGATGGTGTCGTAATCGAGTGACTCCTGATCTTCACTGGAATCCTGCTTGAGGTATCATCTAATGGCCCAAAATTAGTAGTTAGCGTTTGGTCAGAGTCCTTAGGGAGGTATTGGCTGGAATACTAATGCCTTGTAGTTCTTCTTGTGTAAATGAAAGATTGAGTTTAGTTGACTAATCACTTTACTAACAATTCTAAACTACAACCGACATTAGTTTCACGTAACAGCAATTCTACCAACTCTGGCAGCTCTAACAACTCTGACTTACTGGTAATGTTTCGGCAATATATGTGGTTTCAGAAGAGAAACATGTTTTCGGAAGTAATAAAGTGAAGCAAGGTCTTGTCTTCCTCATAATTATGGCGTAATATGTGTTATTACGGAACAATGCATATGATAAATTGTCGTGTTTGTTTGCAAAATAGCCGGTTAAAGCACTGCTGCCTGCATTCATCAAAAACAAAAATGAGAATTGAATGTTTCAAACAAATCGAATATTTTTTTGATCAATCAAATCAGTTAATAACCTCTTCCAAAATGTAGATAAAAATTGCATCTAAGTATACATGTACATGCACACTACACACGCATGCAATGATCAAAATATCTGGAAATGTGCAAATTATTTCCGAACTTTTTGCAATTTAAGTAACTTGCGGAAAGTGATATATTGTACATTATTAATTCTTCAGCAGCTTAACAAACCTGTAACATCTGTTTACTTACGAGTTAGAAGTATAGGTGAGACATAGTGAGCATCGCATTCAAGAAACTTTCATATAACAGTGATGAGAGTATAATGCACTTCTATTATACTACACGTGCTCGCGCTAAATAAGTTCAGGTGTTAAAAATCTAAGTGTGTCAAAGATGCATGACCCAATTCAAATTCAGAAAACGCATTCGACTATAAAACTTGACATAATAAAACTCTTTAGAACGTTCCAATTTTTTTACGATGACACGAACACATTTATGGTATTATTTTCTACATCCGACTTAACTTTCTATGATTGAGACTATTCGTTAAAATTTAAACTTTGGAATGCAATACTACACATCTGGTTTCCAAGGTAATAAACAGATTGACATTGAATTAATTACCCCATTTATATTATTCAACATGGTATAAGAGTTATGAAAATTATACATAAGTGATGCATTTTAGCAAAATGCTTTACGCATCAGAATTGTGTTTCAATATTCAATATATAAGTATATAGAACTCGAGGCATAGTCTTACTACTCAAGAAGATAGTAGGTATTACTACTACTTCAAATCCTTGCCAAAAATGAAAAAATGACATGTGCACACAAATCCTTTAATTTTATAATATTCGAAATTCATTTAACTTACTTTGGGTTCTAACACATCATTAACAGTTAATAACGGTAACAATTTACTCCTATATTTCGCAGATTTTGAACTTAGCTTAATTTATTGCAAAAACTAGTAAATCTAAAAAAATATCTATAATTTAATCTTCCCAAATCAGTTAGTTATTTTGTGGTAAAAAAAAATTTTTTTTTTTTTTTAGTTTTAATATTTAAGTTTCCAAAATTATTCAACATTTTCTTAAAATTCAACATAAAAAACCATTATATAAAAAAATCAAAGCATAAATCAATTATTTTCTGCATGCACTTGCATGTGCATGTAATCAAAGGCATTTCAATGTAACGGGAAATCAAAAGCTACAAATCATCAATATAAATATTGTCATTTGCGAACGAATGTCAAAAAGGCGTCGTCACTGCTGTAAATCAATCAAAATCACTAAATTACTTGTAATGAATCAAAATCACAGCTTTGTGATAAACTGCACGTAGTAATGACTTATCACATCTTAATCAATTTTACATTAAAGATCCAAACAGAATGCTATGACATGCTGATAAGGATATCATTCTGTTTTAAAGTTGTTAAATTGTTTGAGATTCTTTGTAATCAAAGATTCACTCATTATCTTCATTGGGCAATCTATCCCAAGTTCAAGTTCAATAGTCATGACAATCTGGCAAATCATTTGAAAATTAACACGTTCAGGGACGTGGATGCTATGACATTCATATACAATGTGATACAGAATTAAAATGTTTAAACTCAATTATTTTGAATTTAATTTTATATAACCTTACGTTTTGTAATTATTATACCTGTCGAGGTATAATTAACTGATTCTTTGAGTATTTTCGTATTATCTTAGATTTTCCCGTAGTCATAAATTCGCTGTAGTCATTGAGCAAGCACATTGCGTAGTTGAAGCGTAATACTTGACGTGGATACTATAACATTCATCGTGTAACGATGAACAAAATATGATAATCTGACTACCTTTATAAACGGTGTTTGATCAAATTTCGGATGTCACAACCAATTTAAAAATAAAATGACTGTCAATCTTTGTACCTTGCTGAAACTTTTACTGATCGTGAACGCCTTGAAGAAAAAATAAGAAAATGTCTGATCAAAATCTTATATATATAGTCAGAAATATGCTCCATAATCCCTTCTGATCACCAAATATCAGCAGTTTTTTTCATCATTTTTCAGAACTTACTGAAATTGCATCACTGACGAAACTAGTCAAGTAACACAATTAATTTTTATTCGACCATTCATGATGATGTTAGTTATTAAGTACCTAAGGCTTGATTTAATAAATAAATAATATTTTAAATATATTAACAGATTTTATACATTTATAAAAAAATCACCATTTTCGGAAAACTCAAATTATCCAAATAAAGTTTTGAAATAGATAAGATTTTATTTATTAATTTTTTTTTTCGAATCATTTAACCCTAGAATGGTATCTGCACGCCTCCGAGGCATATATGCAGACAAGAATGAATGGTGGTGGTACTCTTGTTATTAAAATTTTGAAAAAATAAAAAAACTATTTGTTACTAAACTAGAGTTTTATATTTAATGATATCACAAGATAGATTTGATGATATCACAAAGTATACCATTACAAAAGACGAAAAAATCACTTCTTAAGCACAATACCATTCTAGGGTTAATGGATTTTATGTTAACTAACTCTATTTATATAATAATTATTTATTAAATAAAAAGTTTCAAAAATTTTAATTAAGACAAACATTTATAGAAATCAATTTCAACACTCAGTAGCACTATTTTCGGAAATATACATATTGAAGCAATAAGTTAAGTATATCCAACATTTAGGCGGGCTTTAGCATGGTTGTAGTTATCTAGTAATTAGGTACTTACTTGAATGCCGAATAGACCCATGGTTACGCATCCAAGCCAACTGTGCAGACTGTAGAAGTTCGGTAATGGTGGCGTGGCCAGGTTATGGGAGTCCAGGACAGCCAAGAAGCCCACGACTACGCAAGGAATGGCCAGGGCATGGAACACGGTGTGCAGAAGTTTCACGTAGATACGTCGGCAGCAACGACACACCCTGTAGAGCAAGATTGCTGAAAAATAATATACACATTATTAATTTCACATCGACAATAAGCACAATTTAGTACAAGTGCTGAAACTTGTCGAATCAAAAATATTATAGAGATTTGCCAATTAGGTGTTATAGAGTCATTAGACCCTAAAAATTTCAATCACAATTTAGCTGTAAATAAATAACTAATTGTCATCTATTTCTATTTTGTCAATTTATCTATCAACTAATTATAAGTATTTTTATTCCATGAGCAAATCTTGATCATTAACAATATAAGATAATTATTGCATATGTATATTTCGAGATACTACATACGTATTTTGTCAAGGAAAAAAACATTTGAAAAACTGAAACGTTTTAGTTGCAAATGAGTAATGTGCTGCGCCAATTAGTGCTTCAAAATTAAGATTTTAGTATGAAAATGAAATAGCTATTATAATCAGAGGCAAAACGGCAATGATATAAAAATGAAATTGAAATAGAATAGGGCGGGGCTCAAAGGTTTGAATTTGACTTTGAGTAATTATAATGTGAAAACCAAACCAATTATATCATAAGAAATAACACATATCAAACAAACAAATATCTGACTGTGTTCAGTAAAACCCAGCTACTTCATCATTGTAGAAATGTGTGTTTTTAAAGTTTTTCAAAAATTTGTCACCTGGTCCGTTTTACCCCATAGGCGCGTATAATAAGACGGCCATGGGGCAAACAGATCCAATGTCTTATTTTTAATTTTAAAGGGATTTTACGAACTAATGGCTAAAATAATCGACCAATGCAATAAATAATAATTTCATGGGTACATTTGTATGTACAACACTGTATATAACCTTGATCTGATATTTCGTCAAAAATAATCGTCAGCAGAGTTGAAATAACTAGTTAATTTATCTTTTGCAGAATTGTTATTTTTTAACTCGATTTATTTTTATATTTACTATTTTTTATTGTTTACACCTTTGCCAGGGTAGAGGTTAAGATGGTCCATTTTACCCCACCCACGTATATGATTTTATAGAGGTTATATAAAAAACAGTTGAATCTAATTTAAAATTAACTAAACATCTTATAAAACAACTAAATGACGTACACTTAAAAGTTATATATTAAGGTCTCGTAAACTAAACAACAGTGCTCACAACCGAAAAAACTAACAACGAAAAAACTTTTGTTATGGATTTCCGTTTATCGTAATGGATTTTCTAACATTGCCATTTATCTCTCGACTTTCCCTCTACTTTCAAATATTGTTGCTAAAATATTCCTAATTTTACTAGTTTTTGAGATAACGGTAGTAGACCTTTTCACCCGTGTACCTTTAAGCACCACTCTACCTTGTAACTACAATAGATGAACATTATAAAATGATTAGAAAAAATAAATCATTGTTCATTTTGCATTAAAAATGTAATAATGAAATATCCAGCAACCACAAAAATATAAAAAAGTAATAAATAATAATGCTAAACGACTAGTGTAATTACAGATATTATTGAAAGAAGTTCAAATTATTCAAATTCTCAGTTCGATGAAGAGTCAAACTGAATTTTTAGTACAAAATTGGAACAGTATTAGTGGTATTAGTATCTAATAAAAATCGCTTATATGAGTAGATACATAAGATAGATTTCATGGTCGTTTTATGATTCGTACCGCGTACGAATGATCCCGCGATGCTTGGAAATGCAGTACCTACATATTACCGTTATCACTAATAAACCACGAAACCACATCGACTTAGCTCACGGGGAAAGTATCAGGCGCATACCGATGAGTGAGATTCAGCAGATATCAGTATTGCCCAGATTTCGCTGCCAAGAGTGTTTTCTCAACAAACGATACATATTCTAATGGAAAAGAATATGTTTAGTAGCGACGTGAAGCATCAGTCAACCGACTGTCAATGACAGTTTTTCACAATCCTGGTCTATTGCAATTAATATCCTAAGCAACCAACTCGAGTCCTCTAAAACTGCCAAAAGCTAATTGGTATATATAGCCAAAAGTTTATTTTATAGCTTGATAATTCAAATATATAACTAGTGGTACATGGCATCGTGCCAAGGCAAATTGCTGAAACTTCCCGTACCAGAATTAAATAATTCGAGGGAAAAAAACAGTATTAAATAAATATTGATCGATTATCAATAACAATTGTTTTAAACATTTTCAAATAGATAATTATAATCACTATATATTTTATCGTTCATAAAATATACCGTGACGATCTTATCGCTCAAAACACTTAAGAAAGTTTACATTAGCAAAAGGTGCCGAATGAATCCATCTGAGAATATATTTCTTACGATTAGAATAACGCATTGGAAATATATACATTTTCAAACTAAAATGTGAATTTAAAATTCATATTTGAAGCATAAAACTTTGTATATTCTTGAAAATTTTGAAAATTTTTGAAATTTGCTTGAACCGTACAAGTAAACGTTGTTACAAAACAAAATTGTTACAAAATTAGTACTCTTTTTTAAAAAAATTGATTAAATATCTGATAATTTGATGTGAATATGTCTAATGATCATTTTTGACCGCCAAATATCAATTTTTTTAGGTTTTTCTCTGTATCTTCCAAACGGCTGGTCCTGTCTCCACCAAAAACAAATCAGCACGTCTTCTCATCAGTAGGAATCGAATGTTTTTTGAATCATTCAAATCTATTGATTCGTGCGCCCGAAATCGCAGACGAAATATTGTATCCAAACATACACACACACATCCATTTTTGCGAAAGTATGCTCAAATGTTCAGAAACCTTCAAAACATAAAGATAAACAAAAAATTTCATTTTCGATTTTTTTGCGACTTCCCGTAGGGTAAGTTATAGACTCTACGGGAAGTTAATAATAGATTCAGTAAATATTTTACTGATTAGAATTGTAAATCATGAATATGGCAGGCCGTTCAATAACCTTCTTTCACAATATGTTAAGGATATCGAAAAGCTTGTTATCATTTTCACAATACTTTAATTTTATATTATCAAAATATACATTGAAAGTTGCAATTTTTTATGGCTTACAGTTAGTAAATGTTGAAGTATTAATATATATAGAAATTCGATACCAATAAATTGATGAATGAGGATCACAGCAAAAAAACAATACTTAGGGGCCAATTCTTGAATAAAATAAAAATGTTAGGGTAAAGCTATGTTACGCGTCTCTATAATGGTATGAGTGGGTACTCACAAAGTGCCAAAAAACTTTGTCTTTGCTGTGCAATCAGACGTATAACACATAAAACGTATGTGTTATCAAAAAGACAACAGAAAGTTGTACTTATGATAATATTGTTATCTGACAATTATGCATTTCGGAGGTTAGGTTTCATAAGTATGTAAAACGCCTGATCGCACAGCAAGTACATAGCTATTTGACAGCTCGTGAGTATCAATTTGTCCCTAAGTCCATCTTTCATAAAATAAAACTTTTTTTTTAATTTTAGTGCAAACACATTCGATTGAAGAAATTGTGAAGGTTACAGCTAACTACATATCTCCGTAAAGTTTTTTTTTAAATTTTAAATAGAAGTGTTAACTATTAAAGTAGAATATACTAAAATATGTTGAAAATCTCATATTACTAATTTATTGTTTCTAAACGCTTTCTTTTGCAAATATTGTTTATTTTTTTAACAGAATAAGTAATCTATATGCAGTAACAGGCGATGGCAATCGTATATGAAGAAGAGAAAGGGAATTCGTACTGCCGAAGGTAAATTGTTCCCAAGCTGCTCCACCTATACGAGAACTATGTATGAGAAGTAACGGTATCTTTTGCAAACTATTGATGCCGGTGAAAAGTTTTAAATTGTTAGAATTTTCATATATTCCTCAGTCGTTTATATGTATTTGTCAAAATCATTACTGTGGCATATATTGAAGTTAGTTGTGAATCGGTTTAAGTATCCAAATTGTTAAAAGATTTTCTAACGAAATCAGAAATATGGTATATGAAATACTAAATTAAATTAATTAAAGATTAGTGGAAATATACTCAATAACTATATTTACTAGAACTTGAGATAAAGACTTCAAAAAGTATCAAACCTGTTTTTGATTTGAATAATTTTATACAAATTTTACTACATATTATAACATTATTATTGAAGAATACATTCATTTGTAAGAAACACTAAAGATCAATATCACAAAATGTAAAAAGGTTTCATGGCAAAGTGTTAAAACTCTTCACAAAATGCTATCGCTTTTAAAATGTTCATAGTTCTATACGATTCTGTAATGTTTCTTCAATCTTTTATTACGCTACTCTAACTTAATTTTATTATCAACTGAACAACTTGGCTTTAATTTCATTACGCCATTTATTTGTGAAAATGCTATCTCTTATTGTGGTACCGAACAACAATAATAAAGATACATAAGATAAAGTACAATTGAATTTCTAAAATGTGACCCAATTGAACGTCCTATCATTAAATATTTTCCTGTAGAACAAATTATTTTAATTGTTTTATTGTCAACACGTTTTGAAACTTCTGATCATCTTGCCCTAACTTACCATTAGAAAAATTGATGTATTTTCATAATATAGAAAGTTTCAGCACAATCAATTAAATCAATTTATCTCTTAATGACCTTTATCGGAGTAAAATCATGAAACTGTGTGCAAAACAAAAAAAAACTATTTCAATTGTAAGACATTGAGCAGATTGAGAGAATTTACAAACAAATCTCGAACAAATAAATACACGCAAATATGTTTCCTATAAAATGAACCGGTTGAATAGTAACAGAAAAAGCAGAGCAAAGGAGCAATAATCAACGAAACTGAAATTCGTTTATTTTAGTAAACACACGTTACTACACATACTACATCTAGGAATAGATTTAATGTTATAGTTCAGTATTTGATATATCTTGTGTTCTTATTGTATCCAATGACTATTATCATTTTGTGAGGAACTGAGAGAAAATAGGGTAATGATCGGTCGCTAAAAGAAATGAAATAATGAAAAACAAATATGATATCGAATCATTGTTGGAAGTTTATGTATACATTTAAGTTTACAATCGTGCAGTAGTAAACTGTTATTGTTCTCAGGATATAAACACAAATCTCATTTATCCAAGGCTCGTGTTTATTTAAAATGTGATTTTACGCGAACAGCCACAACATTAACAAAAACTTACATACACAAGTTAAAGACAACGTCCTGTACGGCGGTTGTATGTTATAAAGCGACAGATTAGGTTTATTGTAGAAACATATATATATATATATATATATATATTTATACATGTATATATAAGATGCATTTGCCTTCGAGTAAGTTGCGTGAATTTCCCAATGTTGAAGATAATAGAGTTGATTCAGCAGCTTAAATTGAGATCCAGCGAAGATAGGATTATTTCTATTCGAATCTAATCAAAATGCGAATAGTCTTTGGATAGAAACATAATTGGATAAAAAGCCAAGAAATGTTTGTCAATTTAATGATATTTACTCAAACAGATTTAGACATTTAATTATTATTTATTTAGAGAATAAAAATTTAAATGTTTATAACAAAAAAAATCTTAATTTTGCAAAACTAATAAAATCTTAATTTGGCAAACCTAATAAAATTTATCTTAACTTTGTTTATTTCGAAAGATACGATATTCGTATGTGACCGCTTTTTAAATATTTATCGCAAAAGAATTTCTTTATCTTGTAATTAAAAAGCTTTAATTTGTGCAGGATTTTGTGCAAAAGTTTCTCTTAATTACGAAGAAATCAACTATTATCAGAAACATCAACACAAAAATGATAATTCAGTTTTTGAGAGAACGGACCGTCCGATTTGAATGATTCAAAAAAATATTTTATTTGTATTGACGAAACGAAAAACCGATCAATTTTTTCGGAAGGCAGGTCCAGCGGTTTTGGAGATCCAATAAAAAAAATAAAAACAAATGCCGTTTGATGATCAAAAATGATTATTAGACGTATGCACATCAAATTGTCAGATATTTTATAGAGATTTTAATAATAAGAACTTTGTTTATATTTTTATGGGTTCCATAGGCGGCGCTTACGTCTCTAAAACAGCTTTGCAGCAAACATTTTCGATTTTTTTGCGATCATTATAACGCACCCTACGAGACGTTAAAAATGACCGAATCAAGTATGATTGGTGTCATTTCTAGCCCACGATATAGCAATCCCCGTCCAGCAATGAGTTCGCGCATTCAGTGCGTCATAAGCTCGCGTGTGAATATGTTAATCCGACGTTAATTGAGTAGTAATAAATAAATATCACGAATGCTTACAGAATCCGCTGAAGGTGATGAATCCGGCGACCATGAGAACCGGATGTAGATTGAACTGTTTCTTGGGGTCTTCGGTCCATGCAAACCCATCGCGGTAGTAGAGCACCCAGAAGAGCGTCAGTGCTAACGAACCGACCAGGAGCACGCTGGACAGGACGGTCACCATTGTGTATTCGAACCAATTGCCGCAACCCCAAGCGCCTTCGTCTTCCTCGTAATGACTACGCCTGCAAACAAGATCAATACATTGAATAGGCTGACATCATATAAATTGAATCAAGGAGCATCTTCACGTCAGGCGCACGTCATGTAATGAGAATGACCAAGCGAAGTTAATTTTAGCGCGTTGTAAAATCCAATACATTAATAATATGTCGTAATAAATTGTACTAAAAATTTGGTGAAATTAAATAGGTAAATAATAAATATTATAATTACTTCATATTGATATTGGTCAGATAGTTTTTTTTCTTTTATTGCTTAAACAATTCAGAACGTGAAGCAGTTAGAAAACCAGCAATTTTTTAAAATCATATGGCATTCTTAAAATCTTTTAATTACTTTTAGTGCAGCTACTGAACATGTTTAGATATATATTTTTTTAAAATTAATATAATAAAGCAAACACACACGCACACACACACACACACACACACACACATATATATATATATATATATATATATATATATGATTTATTTTTTATTTTTTATTTTTTTTGTTATTTATTTATATATATACATTATTTTCATATCTCAGTCAGAGGTGTCTGGTATGAGAGATTATGAAAAACAGTTTTCATATTTTATATATACATTTCATTTGACTATAATATCTATTTCATTTTTTACTTCAGTATTTGTTGCTAAAATGATTTAAGGTTGTAACGTAAACTATGGCTTGAGAAGATCTTAAATATTACATTTTACGCTCACTGCTCAAACCACTATTTTGTAAATTATAAGTTAAGTTTCCAAGAACGACGCATGACACAAACAAAATTCTAGTAAAATTTGTGAGATAGTGTAATCCTATCTAGTCCAGTCATTATAGTAAGTTCACCTCGCAATTCGAGATACCAGGCTGTAAGTCTGTAAATACTTGTATATTGACACCCTAAAGCTGTCTCAAAACCTACACATAGTATCGATATGTAGGTTTTGAGACAACTTTTAGGGTGTCAAGGAACAAGTATTTACAGACTTACAGCTGGGTATCTCGAATTCCGAGATTCTTACATAATTTAAGCTTAAATGACTGGACTAATCATGTCGCATATACTTTTATAATGCGAAATAAAAAATCTAGAAAACTAAGCATTTATAATGAAAATTAATAAGAAAAACTATATTGTGTTATAGAAGGTGACCATATTTTTCGTGTCAAAACCGAGATGACAATTTTTAGTTGTGTTAATCTGAGGGGGAGGAAGTACCTTGATGAAAAATAAGGAATATTATTGAAAGATGTAATAAAAATCCATTTTTGTATGAATATAATTTTTTAAATAATAATTACTGACGTTTAGTAAGAACTTTATTATTAGATTATATGTTACACTGTATCTTATATTCTTCTATCTATTTTATTCAAAGCTTTCAAGGAAGAAAAAATTATCACTTGTGCCAAGTAGTGAAAAAGTTTATTTTCATAGTTTTTGCTATTGATAATTGAGAGGCTATTTTAAGCCGCCTTTTAAATGTTGAATTTAGCGATTTTCCAGTTCAAGACGTATTGTTTCATATAAGCCAGCGGGTTCCAACCCGAGGGTGCACATCCTCAGGAGGGCGCCAGGCTGTTCTAAGAGGAGCGCGTACATTTTTTTCCAGAATACTATTTTCAAAAATAACAATGAAACTAGTTGGTTTGGTATTTAGCTTTGAGGCAAGTTACATGAACTTCCCGATATATTTAAATAATCGACTTAATCAATAAAAAATAAATTAATTTATGAGTCATTAAAAGTATTCCGAGTGGATTTATTACACATAATTGAAAACGAACGAACACTTTGACTCGGAGTATTTTCTAAAAGCAAGTTTTCAAAAATCAATAATTTTTATAATTGAACCCGTTTTCAGGACTTTAATGGTTTAATATGTTCAAGACCAAGTACCTTATCATTATACCAAGTAATAAGTCTAATTTTAATTTTAACAAATGTCAAAAGAGCTACTCATTTTCTCAAACTTTGATGAACATGGTATATATCGCTAAAAAAAATTCCATAAAAATCGGCTTAAATTTTTTTTTCAACAGTTTATTACAAGAAAACGGCTCGGTAGATTTTCACCTAAAACTAATCAGTATCATTCCCAACTAATATCTTTCGAACAGTTTTTGATTTTTTAAAATCGGTTCGGTAGGATGAGCTTAAATGTGGACGAAAAGTTTAACACTTTTCTTCAAATTACAAAGAAACGGCTTGGCAGATCGTCACATAAAACTGACAAACGATAGTCCTCAGCGAAATACATCAAATGGCTTTTAAATTTCTGAAATCGGTTCAGGTGCTTTTGAGAAAACGTCGATCAAAAGTCTAATTTTGACAAATGTCAAAAAAACGATTAAAGCTAAACGAGTTGTCGTAGGGCCGTAATATTTTAGTATGACCTAGAAAACTATGGTATCTACCGTTAAAAAAAAATCATAAAAATCGTCGAATTTTTTTTTTTAAAAACGTTATTACAAGAAAACGGCCTGGCCGATCTTTACCAAAAACTAATCAGCACGATTCCCAACCAATATCTATCGAATGGTTTTTGAATTTTCAGAATCGATTCAGAATTGTGGGCTAAAACGTGGACGAAAAATTTTTCACTTTTCTGCAATTTACAGAGAAACGGCCCGGCCGATCGCCGCACAAAACTCAGAGGCGATAGTCCTCATCGAGATACATCAAATGGCTTTTAAATTTTTGAAATCGGTCCAGCCGTTTTGAAGAAAACGTCGATTTACGGTAAAAAATCTGTTCACACACACACACACATAATTTTTCCAAATTTGGTCTCATTCGATTCAGAATGGCTTGAAACGTCGAGAAAACATAAAATTAGCGAATCGGATTTTTTGATGAAAACAAACTTCTTCGGGAAGTTAATAATATTCAAAAATAAACAAAAAATAATTAGTTTTCATTCATATTTTTACATAATATTGCATGTTACTTTTAGTCTGATGATATCAGTGGAGTATTTATAAAATTAAATTGTTGAAAAAATTAAGGGAGGCGCAAGAATTCTTTTCATTAGAGCAGATCTAACTAAAAAGAAATCGTGTCCATTGTTACAGCAATAAGTGTAAAATATCATATTTTATCCTCGCATTAAAAGCGACAAACAGCAAAAAGTGCGGAAATGTTTTCCGTTTTAATCGATTTATATTTCTTGATACTACGACATACGCGAATAGAATAACAAATTGTAAAAAACATGCGCATATTACAATGATAATAGTACAATCATTAAAACCTGGCAACAATCCGATATTTATTAGAGTATAGTTGTTTATTATTCAATCCTGGTAATAATGGACAGCAATCTCTCGTAAATTCTAGAGTTTCTTGGGCTCGTTTCGAAAGGGTGGCCGGAGATATATCAATCTGAACCCGACTGGAGATCCCTCATGGGATGCGAATACAATCCGGGATTCCGAGCAATAGACCGTACTATTTACTATAACAGCAGGCTATAATTTACTGCACGATTATTACTTATGTTTATTACCACAGAACAAAACGTTTCTATTTTATGCGATAGTAATGATAAAAAAAGCTATTTATGTCATTGCTCATCCTGACTCACTTTCGATCGATTAGAAATTGATTTATGAGCAATACCCTGAAGTAAGGCGACGCAAACAACATGCTCATAGAAATAAAGATATCCAAATTGACAAACAAACAAATTATGATTTGTTATAGCAACAATTCCATATTTGAGACGAGACGTGAAATGATAAAAATACTGGTATTTGTAGAAAAAACACAAAAATTTCAAAAATTTTAAGTTAAATTACAAGATTATAAACTTTACAAACTAATTTATCATTCATTGCCTGCATAAAAACATGTATAGATAGTTTATGAATGTGAAAAAATTTTATTTGTTAGCCTTCATTAAGAGAAATTATTCGAAAGAGCATGAAAATCTATAAAAACACAGAATAATTCAAAAATTATTTAAAATGAACATCAGAAAATAATACCGTTTCGTAATATCTCAATCATCAATTATTCACCAATCAAAATCATATTATACTAAACAGGTTTGATCACATTTCATATTTGAATAAAAAAACTATGCATAATTCGCCATTATTACAATCCATTAATTAAAATCAACATTGTAATTTAGATAATGTTACAATAATCTTAAAAGCATTTGAATTTACATACGCTAATTCTCGCAACACTATTCGATTTAAATTTGTTTTATGGACTACATTTGAAATAATTATTTTGCGCATACGATGAATGAACATCATTGTGCAATTATTTATGAGATGATTTAATAGATAATTAATCATGCGATAATTATTAATAATTAGTTTATATTTATATGCGGAATATCATAGCAAAATAAATAATGTTTTGTGCAGTGATGTCGGATACAAAAATATCCATTACACATGATATTTACAACGCGTTTTATAAAAATAGATGCATATAAATAAACAAATATATATATATATATATATATATATACATATATATACATTTATATAAAAAACTGTCAATAATTGTGGATCAATTAGTTATTGCAGTTGTAATGAATCTCTACTATTTTTTGAGAGTACGAACTATTCGATGCATCCGAGACAAAGTCAGAGTATGTATTTAAGTGACAATTATATACATTGTATTTATTATTATTAATGTTTTTTAATACTTATTCTCCAATTTAATTGTATGTAAAAATAGGTGATATTCAAAATCTCTTCCATTTTTATCTGATGTTATCCAAACCTTTCAAGATTTTATTTCTATAAATAATACGTACGTGTATTCATGTATGTACGTTAGGGAATACATCGTGCATATTTTCAATTCAATGAATAATATTTTTCAGCTTTCTCGCATTTTGAACCAAAAATTCATATTTAATTCGAGACTCAACGTAATACCATCCCTTTTGCGTTCAAAAATTTATATTTCACCCGGTACACTATAAAACTGTCTCCGTTTCTTGAAGTTTTGCAAAATATACGTTCTCTTAAAATTGATACT